AACCCATTAGGGCATGTCAAAAGCAACATAAAACCTTGACCTAGAAGCTAACTGGAAGCCAAGGAATAATCCAAAGTACTGGAATAGTGTGGTCTCTATGAAAAGTATCATTTAAGAAGTAGGTTACTGCATGCTACAACAAATGTCAAACTTCTGAAACATCTCAAGCAATACCTTCATGTGTAAACCATTGCTACACCTTTCAGGTGTTCCAATTGCATATGGGGGGGGCGGAATCCAATTAACCATTTCCTGACCATATTTTTAGTCCTTTTATTACAATTACTTAAAATTATGAAAATTTGCCATTGCCTGAACAGAATTTAGGGTCTACTTCCTGAAGGAGAATATATTGGGATTTTTAGTCTAAAAAGTAATTTAATATGAGAGAAATGAATCAGAGTTATTTTAAAAGGCCGCTATAAAAGAGACTTGCTGTGAAAAAGATGCATGCTAAGCAACTTGTATCTTCTCAAATCAAGTCTCCACCAACTCCGCAAACCATAATTCCTACCCACTATAACAACTTGCTGCATGCACAGGTAGCCATAACAACTGGCCAGATTGAGGTTTTCCACCATTCCTATTAATAAACTTGCATAGAGTTTTCTGTTCCTATCTGAATAAAACCTGACAGAGAAGCAGGACTGCTAGGCAGAACTTTTGACTCCTAATTCTTGCAACAGATTCTCACTCAAGTATGAGCCATATTACATATTCAGTCACAAAGAGAGCATGAATATGTCCATAAAAATAGCAATGGTCTGTACTTCAATTTTACACATTTAGGTATGAGTTTACTAACATCTGCCTATTTTTCCCTTACTTTAGAGGCCCATGCTATTTCAAAACAAAATCCAGAGTACTGTCATTAACTAAAAATCTGACTGCTTAGATTACTTAGCCACCATGGGGAGCTCACACAAGCATTTTAGACAATAAGCCATTTCTCCCCAGATCCCAGACACACATATCCTATTTGTATTAAAATTAACCTAGGTATACAAGTTTTAATGCGTAACCAACAGCTTGAAATTAATTTGCATATCACTAACCAGGGGGTCTTTTTTCCACCTAAAGAAAAATTTCTCTCTCTTTCAAAACCAAACTTTACCTGAACCTCAACCAATTAAAAAACGTAGGTCCCTGTAATAAATTTATTAAGGAACAAAATGCTCCGTTAAAAAGCATTCTGGCCTACCCACAATACTTTATTACTCCCCCACCCACAAAAAGAGAGGCCACACATACACACATCACTCAAAGAAGGAATTTGCTGCACCTATTTTGAAATATGAAGCAAGGCAGTCAGAGGTAGGACAGTGCCTTGCCTCCCAACTAAAACATCCTTCACAGTTAACCAGAACTCAGGTATTACACATTTCAACCTCCTAAAAAGGGAATCAGAGCAAGTTTTCTATGAAGTAAAGCAGATTTTAATTTTAGGTGAAGAAAAGTCTATTTAATTTACAAGGACCAATCTTTAAGGGCTGGCTCAACATGCCACCCCAGGTGGCTAGTGTCAGCACTACCCTCCCCCACCACTAAGCTAAACTGCCCATCACACAACAAGTGACATCAGTGCTGTTTGAATAATCAGATTGCAGCATGTACATTGCCCTAGTAGATACCAGCTGCTCTTGGATCACAGTAAGAGACTACCTAAAGAGTTCATCTGTAAAACATAACATGCAGATGTATTTATCACTCCTTACTGCATTTTTGTGCCTCAGAATAGAATGAATATGAAGCGGTGATCATGACTAACAACACTGCATTCTTTTCAGAAGTATAATTAGCATTCAAAATTTTTACAATGCCTTCTCCAAGTTTTGAATTAAGTGACCTAAACCTCTAAATATTGCAATAGCCTTCCACAATTCATGAAGGTCTGAATGCAGAAATTCTACATTCCTTTCACATGCTCTTGAGATTTCAGAAGTCAGTCAAGAACCAACTTTTGGCTTATTAACTAGTTTGTACCTCCCCCCAAACAGTTCTCCAAAACATGAACTAGGCCTCCCTCTTTCAATTTGTAGTCACATGTCTTTTAATGCTTCAAGGATTGTCCTACAGCACCATCCTCTCACAGCAGGTATAAAGGTATTTTTTGCAGATGTGGGTGTGCCCACATCATATCCAAACCTCCCAACAAGGGTTGGAATGCAGTGACTCCTGGCCTAAGAATTTCATTTTGAATAACAAATCAAGCTCAGTTTACAATGATTGGTTTTCTGGACTCAATTCAGTTTTATAGCAGCCCTAAGTAACCACACTTTTTCACCCTCCCTACAACATAAGGATACAGAGGACCCCCACCCTTAATACATGGCCTCATTATCTGGGGATGAAGGGGGTAAAAGACTATATAAGAAAACTGTTTGTAAACATTAATATGCATATCCTGTTAAAAATGTATTTTTTTAAACTGGATTAATAAATTGAGTAGGAACTCCCCAGGCAGCAATGTGGGAGGTCAATCCAGTATGATGAATAATTTTGAAGTACTACACACATACTTCATAAGAACAGCAGCAAAAGTTATCTCAACTGACCAAACCTGTTAATTGTACACTTCTGCTAAAAGAAAGGCTTGACCAATACCCACGTAATTTTCTTTCCTGTGACATTCAGCTAAGAAAACCAAATCACACCACACCAGCAAGCTGGGCTCCATGGAAAACTGAATCTAGACTTTCTACATACCAACAAATTAGGTGGGCCTCTAATCACCACACAGAAGACTCCCCACAGAAATCTCATTACTAGCTCTATTTGCCATCAGCCTTTTAAATACATCAGGTTTTTTTTTAAAGGCATATTCCAAACACACAAAAATAAGTATCTTTCCAAGTTAGTTAACTGTTTCAACATTTGAAGCCTTTACTTTTTACAAGATAGCTAGTCGCTCTGGATATATAACCAGTAAGCAATGAGTGAAGGGAGGGGACATCCTAAATTGCTGAGTTGGCATAAGGGAAGTTCTGCACACTTTTGAAAGGAAAGCAACTTTTAACATAGAAGTTACTGAATTAATTTTCAACGGGCTTCTATCATGGATGGTACTTAAAAAAATACTGAATTTCTAAAATTTCAAACAGGTCCCACCTGAACTATTCCAAAAACATTCTTAACCACATTGCACTGATGAGAGATATTTATTAAATATGGCTTACAGATTAAACAATACCGGGGGTTTACTAACTAATTATTTGGAAAAATGCAAATATAATTAAACATTGTAACCATGCAACATCTCTCAAAATGTTAACGTTAAGTTCAGCATAACATTCCCTCCAGAGGACTACAGACATAAAATAAAGTATATTTTTAATAGGGTCAGCCCATAAAAATATGAGAACACACTATACCCACATGAGGAACATGTTTTTATTCTCCCGCTGAACTCTATAAGAACAGGAAAACCATACATTTGAACACTATACAATGATATAGAAAAGATTTTCTAAACTATAATAATGTTTACTTTGGGAGCACAAAATCAATTTGTTTACAGTACTGTAAACATCAGTACACTTAATTATGTGCAGAGATTAATAAATGTCTGTTTACAATTTAATTGCCAGATTAAACTATAAAGACTGGAATGCAATTTTGAAACTGATCAATCCTTACATGTGCACTGCATTTTGATTTAAATCTAACAATATTTTAACCATACATAATACTTAAATCATTATATAGTGAAAGAGCTGAATGTATCCTATTGTAAACTGAAGTTTAAACATGTCCTGCATGACAAACAATAAAGGCTACATACATGTTACTCTCCAAAGGAAAAAAAATGTCAAACTAAAAGGACTATTATGGCATACACACACATCTAAAAGACTTTGTTTCCTGCTAGCATTAGATCAACACAGTCCCACCACCATACTTTCTGAAGTTTCCCTTCAATGCTGAATAAAGATTTAACTTTTAAATTTTCAAAATCCCACGATTAGATTTCCAACAATAAAGCAACTAGTACTTGCATCTTTTTAAATCAACTGATTAAAAAGATAGTATTTTCTAAATAAATGTGTACTTGTCAGACATGCCTTTTTAAGTGAAATAATTTAATCTCAGAAGTATGCCTGTCTGCGTAATGGAGGTCAGGAGCAAACACGTGGAAAGTTTGATCTATTTTAGTATTACTCTCTAGAAACCTGGAGACCACTACAATCTAAACAATTATGAAAGAGGCAGATTGAACTGCTATAGCCACTATAAAAGTGGTCCACTGATTTGCATTAAGTCTGAGTGTTGCTCCTTCACATTAGGCCCACGAAATTTCAAACTATTGAGCCCTGAAGCAATCATTTTGAAAAAAAAGAATTGTAAACACATGTAAAGGATGCATATATCCTGGCTTCCCTGGGGAGACGCCAGTTTCCTCCTCGTGTCTGTAGATGCCAGATCAAAACGTAACCACAAAAAAAAAATCCCTTCTTAAATACAGATGAAGCTGATGCTACACAAGTAGCAAATACTGTGCATTCCAACATGGCAGAATCAAAGATTTGATACCAGCATATTTACAAGATGCTTTTTCTTGTTGGGAGCAAAGCTCATGTGCTGTCCGTTATATGATTCAAAACATCCCATTCCATTTACTGCTAAGCCCAACATTTAACTCTTCTCAGGGGCTTTACATTTAAAAATGGTAAAAATTGTTTCATTTGATCACAACCCCCTCTTTCACAAAAAGCTTGCATTTTACTGCAGGCCAGTTAAAGAAGAGGCCCTGATTCTTACAATGTTCTTGATAGTAGAATGCTTTGGGGTTTGTCTGGTTTGGGGTTTTTTGGGAGAGGTGAGGGGCGGTACAACATGCATGCACATGTTTAAGCAAGCAGTTCATTTATCCACAAGGCAGGCAAACACAAACCCAAGATTTTTTTGTGTTTGTTTTACACTGGGGGGATGGGGTTGGGTTTTTTTGCTCTGGTAGGCTAAGTGAGACCAAAAAGAAAAAAAGAAAAGAAACAAGAAATTACCGTTGTCTCTTAGGGACTGAATGTTCAACTTCTATGAGTTTCCCATGCAGTTCCACTTTACCTGCAAAGGCAACAAAAGAAAATGGATTTCAGTGGGCCATTGGGGGTGGAGGGTCTTCCCCTTCCCCACCTCCTCCTAAACTGAATCGGTGGCATGAGAAGATACCACAGGAAATCGAGAGTGCAACATGTTAGCTCATTCACGAACAACTCCTGGAAGCAGCAAGCAGCAGCATGGTGGCAAGCTACAACCTACCGCAAGCTGGAAGGATGGACTTTTAAAGGGTTCCTGGAGCAAGAGCCTTGCCCGGAGAGAAATGGAAGAGGCTGCTTGAGAGGGGGGTGCCGGGAGTGGGGGCCAGCCCTTTCTCAAAGGGATGTGAAAAAGGTTTGTGTGCCCATGTGTACGTGTGTGACACACACCCCCCGAGGGACACACACAGCTCCCTCTGAAGAGAGGTTGAGGCCACTGGGGCTGAGGGAGAGGGAACAGGAGCGACTGGCAGCGGTGCAGGGGGGGGTGAAGCCGCTCGCTCCCCGCTCCGCCTCGCCTGCCC